GGTTTTTTTTATACTACTTGTTTTTACTCATTAGAGCTGGAAACAACTATGGTTGCATGGTTTTGGTGATGGATGAGAAATAATAACTTATGTAATGCAACTTATGGGTGTTATTTATAGTCTCCAGTGTGATTTCATGGAGAGCCTCCTGAGGCAAAGAAGCAACTGATGGGATGTGAGTTCTATAGAGACTGTTCCCATGTGGTCTCTCTATTCCACATTGTTTAGGGACGTTGAGTTTTAGTGCAGTTGCTTTTAAACTCTGTGGAGGGGGGAAAAAATAAATGGGTGAAATAATGATGCTAAGGGCCTTGCAGTGATACTAGAAGAGAGATTGTGTGGTTAAATATTACCAAAGAGCTTATGTAAGATATTTTTGAGACATACGTCTGTAGTATTTTTAAAAAACTGAGGTGAATTTACAGAAGAAATACATTTATTGTGAGTGTGAGTGCTTCCAAAGAGATGCACAGCCTTGAGATGCAGTCACTATTGTGTGGAAAGACAAGGTATTTCCACAGCACTGTGCAGCAACAGGGAAGGGACTGAGGCAGTCACAGTTGTCAGACTCAGCTTATGAGGTGTTGATCTTGAATTTCTGTTTCTTCATTAATAGTCAACAAACAAAAGGGTTTTGGAACAATTATGTTAATTTTAGATTCATTTGAACTAGAGAGATTATTTTAAATTATGATTCTGGTAAATGTGATAGGGAAGATTTGTATAGAGGCAGTTTTTTCTAGATGAAATTTTTAATGCATAATCAACATGCCAGGCAGTTAAGTAATCCCTCATCTAAGAACAGAATAATGAATTTTAAAAAGATAAAAAAAACAACTAGAAACTGACGACAAGCTATTGCTCAAATTTTAGTTAGTCCGTGTTACATTGTTATTGTCTGTGACTATGCAAGTTTCTTCATGGACAGAGGTTTTAACAGCATAAGCTGCCTCTAAAATAGTTTCAGGGAAGATGGCAGTAATGTTTGAGGGTTCATTAAAGACTGCTTGTTCTGGTGTTTGCACAGACAGCTAAGATCATAAATGCCAGTCTGTGTGATGAGTTCTTTATGATAAGAAAAAAACCTGATCGAATGCCTCAAAAGCTGTCATGAAACCAGAGATTAAACAGATTCATCTTGAAGAAAGCAGCAGCAGAGGAGAGATCCTTTTTTTCTTACAATTTTCCCATCTCTTCCATCCTTCCTCCTTCCCTGTTAAGTTTCGTTAGGCTATGTCTCTGTTGGGCCTAGAGCATCCCACTCTCCCCCCAAATGCCATGGAAGAGCCATCATGATTGTAACTGAAGCCATCTGCATGCAGCCTGCAAACTCCTCCAAGGCTGGAGAGTAAGGCAGTGAAAATCAACTCCAAAATTTTTTTGGAAAAATTTTGAGGGGGGAACATGAGAACAGGGACAGTGAGGAACAAATATGAGTCCCTGTTCATGACATAATAGTTTTAAGAACACTGCTCTGCTTGTTTCCAGACAAGCCTTCAGTTTCAGCCTTGTCTAACTGAACTTCTTTGTTCTCTCATTTCAAATGGGAGTTTGATACACAATTAGAAGGATCTCCACCATCAGATATCAGTTAGAAGAATCCTTGCTCCTTAACTCAGAATTAAATGTGCAGTAGGAATGTGTTAATGGCAGTTACTCTGCTGAGCATCTTCTTCCTGAAATTTTGGGGATTTCTCATCCTTATTGTTCATTTTTACAGAGAAGTTTTATGATTTTGACATCTGCGGGTAAAATAATATTTTTGTTTTTCTCTCGGCCTGGGTATTTGTTGGTTTAGGTGCAATAATAAAATGCAAGTTGAGCATCGAAAATGCTTCTTACAAGCAGAGGAAGAAATAGCTGTTGTTGAATTAACTTTCTGAGAAAAGTCACTGAGAGAAGTGACTGAGGCTGAGAGAAAGGCTGAGAGAAGTCTCTGTAGCCTTTTTTGGTTGTTTAAAGGTTCATGCTGGGCATTTGCTCTTCATTCTAGCTGCAGCACTTCAGCCTGTATTCCTAGGGGCTTTTTTTCAGTTGCACTCCCGGTAGTAAGCTAGGTATGACAATTTCATTTTGCTGTCAGATCTTTTAACTTTAAGGTTGGAAGATTCCAGGTGCTGGAAGATGTATTTTGCGTCTTGTACTGTGTATGTCAGTATCACAAAAAGCAAAGTGATCTGGAAGAAATGCACGCAGAACTGACTCTAAAAGGTCTGATTTCTGCTCTGTGCTTTTTCCTTGCTCATTGTACTTGCTTATGGGAAGATAGAACTGTGTGAGCTGTGGGTCTGGTTTGAGGTGAGTATTAGCTTGGGTGCCTGTGTTCAAGGCCCTGGGCAATCAGTGATTAGAGAGGTGGTACTCTCCATGTGAGTGAGGTTAAGTTTACCTCAGTGCTAAGTGTTTTAGCTTATGGCAGAGAGATACACATGAGATAAATGAGATACATTAAAAAATGAGATATCTATAGTTTCTGTGATAATGACCAACTCATGTTAATATTCAGTCAGCCATTACCAATTAACTGAAAGTATGTGATTAAGTATTTTCATTAGTAGGACTACTAACCTGACTTGAGGTAGCTACTTCTCTCATTAAGGCATATGGTTTCATTAACTTCTTAGACACTGGTTGACTCACACCATGACTTGGACTTCAGGATCAGCAGACCACTATGGTTTCCATCAGCGTAATTTAGAATACCAAATTTGCTTCTGAGAACTACCAGAATGGCTTATATTTCCAGAAGCAAAGATGTGTGGGAGGCAGCTGTTCCATAATGGCAATGTATCTGTTTGAGTAGTGAATAAACTGCAGATTATGTACATCCTCTCTGTGGGGCAGCAAGGTGGGCTGGAGCAGATTTACTGAATGCTGCGTCAGCCAGGTCACAGGACAGAATCTGCCTGTTGGAAGGGGTGTCCTTATACACTCCAGGCTAGCCTGGTGTTCTAGGCACTCTGAAAACAAGTGTCCATGGGACAGGACTGTTGGTCTTGGAGTATGAGTTGGGATCTCTGTTCAGGGAATCAGGCAGTCTGTTCAGAGGATCTTTCCCTTGACCTGTTTTCTCCAGAGATTTAAGAAGGACTAGTTGTTCCATAGCTGTATTAATGCATTATGCACTACTTTCTTTTCCTTGCCAAGCCTCCTGCACAGCCAAGCATGCAGAGGTGGAGTACGTTATGTACTGAATGTTAGTTTAGGCCTAATATATGTATTTTGTAAGGTGTAAATTGTAATCTGTGACACTGATCAAAAAGGTGGCTGTCTTGAGGCACACATCAGATAAAATCATTGCAGCTTAATAAAAACTTATCACCTGTATGCAGTGGAGAAAGCAAGTCACTCTTCTATGAAATGTGAGATACAGAGGCTTTATACGTGTTGGAAAGCCAGGCACATTTTCAGCATATCTTAAGAACAGTATGACAGAAATAAAGTAGGCCCCAGTGAGGGAAGGTGTGTATTTGTAATGGCTGTAAACAGTGGGGTACAGCAACTGGAAAAACACTGTGACACAAGGGCTGAAACACAGGTAAGAAATGTGAATTAGTTTGTACTGCATGTGAGGAACCAGGAGAAGTTAACAAAACATCCCTGAAGGGAGAAGCTACCGAGTATTCCAAGTCTGACTCCTTTAGGTGTTTACTCAAGTAAAGTCATTATGTTGATCAGCACTGGCTCAGGTAAGATAGCTGACATAACAAGGTATGGATAGTGTTGTATCCATGGCAGTTATCTTTTTCTGCCTAATTTGGAACAGCACAAAGCAGACAAAAGCAATGGAATCTTAGAATAATGATACAGACATGTTCAATGGGTTAGCATCCTGCCAAAAGATAGATTTAACCTGTTATTTGTTGCATAAATGCTGGTTGTAAAGGGATTTAACTCAACTATTGGGCTTTTTCTTCCTTGCTCAACATCATGCAGTAGAATACTGACTGCTCCTTGCAGCACGGCAACAAACAATTTAGTTTTTAGTACAGTTAGGATTAGATTTATTTTCAGTTTGTATTACAAAGAAATACAGCACTGACTCTGCTGTGCACAGATCTGGGAAGGGAGAATGTCTTTTCTGACCTGACTTGGATTGCAGAGCAGCAGATCCACTGAGATGTTGTGTCTCTGACATGCCACAAAAACAAGGCTTGGGCATCTCACTGTTCAGTCAGTAATGTGCATTCCCTGTGCTACTCTAGAACCCTTGTCAGTACACTCTCCATTGCAAAAAAAAAAAAAGGCTGAAAAAAAGGGTACATGCTACCTGAAGTAAGACTTGTAAACTTTAACTCCTAAAGGCATTCCACACACCATTTTCCCATTTTCTTGCAAGCTGAAATTTATGAAGTTACTCATGCAAATAGTATTCTGACTAATACTTTAGAAATGGCTGAGCATTTGGAATTTATAGGATGTATGTACAGATCATGCTTATTTTGTTTGGGGTTGTATTGTTGGTGTATACTAATTTGCATTTAAATTGTTATCCATGTGGAAAGAGAGGGAAGCACGGTATGGTGCTTTCATGTACTGCCTTCAGTCATAAGAGATACAATTCACATGCTGTGCTTGAAAAATCCCGCTCCTGTCCAGGGAAGAAATAGGTCAAACTTGTGCTCAGTTGTTTTTCATCACTTCAGTCAGTTTGTGTGGGGACACTGAAGGCTGTGAAAATAAATAAGATGACAGATAAAGCCTGCAATTGTTTAGGATAGTGTATGCTCTACATGTATCTCCATATGACCCAGCCAAGGCTGGAAGGAAGCTAATCAGTATTGATAGCAGGAGGGATTCTTATAGGGAACAAAGATAATTTGTCCTTTACTTGATGCTCATTTTGGTTGTTAAGAAAACATGCATATGTACTAGAATGGAAGGTATCACGCTGCTTGGTGACCCTAGCTGAAAGCAATATACCTTCAGTCTGTCTAAAGGGATACTTCAGCAAGGAAATTCTAATATTTTTCCTAAAATATTTGTTGTGAATACAACAGATTCACAGTCGGAGAGTGAGGCTTCTCCTGTGAAACGGCCACGGCTACTGGATGACAGTAATGACAGGCCTGAAGAAACCAGTCGATCCAAACAGAAGAGTAGACGTCGATGCTTCCAGTGCCAAACAAAACTGGAACTAGTACAGCAGGAACTGGGATCATGTCGTTGTGGTGAGTACAGCTTGGCAGTGGCATCCGGCTTTCAAATGCAGCCGTGCTCAGATCTGTGTCACACATGGAAATACAGAGAACACTAGCTTTTTCCACCTTGCAAAGATGCTTTAAACAAAAGCTGTAGCTTCCATTGGTAGCAAAAAGTTAGAATTAGTTCCTGTCAAATTTCCTCTTTAAAACTTCAGCCTTGATGTCCTGCCTTGTCCCAAGAGATGCCGGTTATTAATGAATTTAGCTTCAGAAGTCCCTGTAAGGCAGGAAGGGCATCATACCCACTTGACAGGAGAAGAAGCACAAAGCACATCAATAAATATGCAAAAAAGGTTTCTATAGGGTATAAAGGAACATAGGTCAGTATGTGCTTCTGCATATTATAATTACATTAAAATAAAAAACCTAAATCCAAAAACTCCCTCTAACTGAAAATATTTTCATTCTCACACTTAGTTTGTGGGGGGAAGAGTTACTGTTCACCATACACTTAAAATCATCCAACTTGGCTTTTGCAAATTTGTTAACATTGTTCAGGTAATTGAATTGAAGATGATAATCTCATGCAGATAGCTAATTTGTGGTTTCATATTCAGTGCAAATAATCTTTCTGAAACAGTAATTAATGTGACTGGATTCCAAAGGAGATGCTCTCTCCTTCATGGAACAATTGCATTCTTAACTGGTTATAATGTGCTTGTTGGACCCAGTGATAATGCATGTGGTAGTTTTACCTGCTAATTATTTTTTCATATAATCATGTATTGAATGTTTTATTGAACTCTCTGACAATGCTTATACTGATACATTTGGAGAAGTTTGTTTCATTATTCCACTGTGTCTCAGGCAGAGGATAATTTCCAAAGGATCTGTACAGATGATAGTTGCAATTCACATTGCACCTGTGAAAAATAAAACCTTGTGTTAAAACCATTATCTGGAGAGAAGGCATGTCCTTCTGAGCAGCAAGGGTGGTCTAAGGTAGTTGCAAAGACAGTTAATCCTATAGTGACTACCAAATGCCCAGTGAAGACAAGTGGTAGAAAGCTGCAAAGGTTTTGTGTTATGCTTTGTTCTCTTCTTCAGCATCTGTCTATCTTCAGGCTCTAGAAATCACTGTTGTGTTGGGCTCTTTTGGACATGAGATAATGCTTTGTTTTGATAGTGGAGCACTGGCACAGAGCTAATATACATTATCTGTGAAGCCACCAAACATGAACTCAAAAGCTGTAATGTTGAAATTCTTGTTACGGAACTCATGTGTCAGTATACTTTGAAGTGTCTGGTAACATTTTTATCAAGCTGAAGAAATTCAGGGCTATCAGTTACTCTTTCTGCTCAGCATGGTAGAGGCAGGAATTTCTGCTCTTGGTCTGCTGTTGTCAAGTATACAACAACTCAGCCTGCTCATGGGTACCTGACTGAAATAGCAGAATGGTCCCAAATACTGGAAACAAGAGAGTTTGAATTTTGAGATGGATTGGATAAACTATTAATGCTTAACCATTATGTAACATCATTAATCTTTCCTGCATTCTGCAATATTGGAGCAATTAAGAGCAAGTAAGAGCAATTAAGTTGAAAGCAACTGTTAAAAAGCCCTTTCATTGATCAGTAATTTTTTTAAATTATATAAGACCTTCCTCTTTTTTTTATTGTAAACTGGATTACAGATACATTTGGTTGGTTCCTCTCAAGTTTTCATGAAGTGGTTCCATAATTCAATACTGTTGCAATATAAATGTTGTAGGAATTATTCTTTAATTTTCTTCTACTGGATATATATAGCTTTATGGAAATATTTATGTTAAAGTTCCTAAAATGTATTAATAAAACATGAATGTGAAAAAAATTCTGAATTCCTTGGCAATAAGTGAAGAGATGAAAATTTGCATTCCTGTATTACATCCTACACAGCTTATAGTTTGCATTATAAACATTTCTACTCTATACTTTTAATGAGAAAATAGAAGGCAGGAGTCTATTTCTGTGTGTCCAAGAGGGCTGAAAAAACTGGAAGTCTTTGGTTGCTCTGCAGTTACAATGTTTCATTAATACTCTGTGCAAATAAAGGTGTGTTATCTGTGCTTTGATGTGATGTGAATGTGGCATACCCTGTGCCACTTATATTTAATAGTCAGATTAATAAGAAGCAAGCAAAATGCTACCACTGAGCCACACAGGGCACCTCAGCTTCACGTTACCCAAACTGCTTTACCAATGATCAGCAGCATGTGGCTCCATTCAGTTTTAAAGAGAATGGAGAAACCATTCTTGCTAGTTTGCCCTGCTGTCTGTAATAGGTTGCTTTAGGTCATGAATGACAAGCCCATTAAAAAACCCTGGGTGGAGGTGATGGAAATGCAGTAGAACAAATCTGTCAAATTCTCATTTGTTTAAAATATTTCCTAAATCCACATGACCGGGTTATAATTTTCTGTCCTGATGTGGAGCACAGGTAATGAATGATATGTGGGCAGATGGAGGTGATGAGGTAAAATCAACTGGTGTAAAATAAGCACAGTCTTCAGAAATAATGGTCAACATAGCACATTGTTTGATCTGAGTTTTGAACAACTGCTATTAAATTCTTGGCATCTTAATCCTGAACTAATGCAATGGGAATAAGTGGGGAAACTCCTCCCAGTTTTAAACATTCAGAGAAAATCTGATATCAGGATCAATAAAAAGGCAGACACCATCTTCAGAATGACAAGTGTGTGCGTTTACTTGGATATAAGAAAAAAGACTTTAAAGCATAAAAATGTTAATCCAAAGCTGTTTCTGAAGCAGTCTTCTTAAAATCCAAATTCCCTCTGCAGACCAACAATTTAATTGTTTGCTGTTGCACATCTTCTTGTCCTAATGTTAAAAGTACTGGAAATCATCTTCTTTTTTGTTGATTTGTCCTGGTGAATCCTCCAGTGAGATTTTTAGTGAGACATAGTGGAAAGGAAAATACATGCATACTGAACTATGTTTTAATGCAGACATATGTACAAATACTGATCCAGTTAACTGGGACTTGTCCAACAAGGCACAGCTTTTTTGGAAAAGAGACAGAGAGAATGACTCGTGCTTTACACTAGCTCAGAGATTTTTGGGAGGCTGCTGTATTGGCTCTCCTGTCTCCTGTAAGTCCTGTCCAGGGAGTGGTGATGCTGCTGAGCTCATTCCCTTGACACTACATGGAATTTTAGACAGATTTGACAGTGCTGCAGGGCTTTGCTGCAAAGAACAACAATTCACTACTGAGAAGGGAGTTCCAGCAATTCAAACACAACATTTTTCAGATATAGAAAGATTTGTTTGTTTTCATACACACATACTCTCACAATCTTTTTTCATTCTTCTTCCAATGTCTTCAAGTTACTAACTGCTGACAGGAAATTCACGTCTCATAAATAATGCTTAAGAGCCATTGCTATATAAATTGAATGTGTTATGAATTGTGATGGGCCTTTTAGTAGCATTCTACGCCCGGAGCAGGAAGAACAGAGGATGTCATTTTCATTAATTTCTAATGAGGTGCCAATTAAAGCTAAGGAAGGAACTCAGAAGAGTCACAGAAGTCCCCTGAATCCTGTGCCCCAGGGCTGTCAAACGAGTGTGCTGCCAAACCTCCTCTGAAAGTTAATTAGTGAATTACAAACAGTTAAACAGTAAATTACAAACTCATCCAGAGCACACACAAGACAAATTCAGCTTCCCTTTGATCTTCAAAAGAGCAATTTGTAAGATGAGTTCTGAGCCTTTTCACAGAGCAATCTGGGAGAAGTGATAGGAATTGTTAATTGCTGATGCACTTTGCAAGCTCCTGCAAGAGAGACATTTTAAAATGAATTCTCATTTTGAGCTTCTGACAGGATAACCTTTGTATCAACACCACTAAAACAAAATCAGCTTCCTGTGCACTGTTTGTAGGTGACAGTAAAAGTAGGCTAGTCCTGCAGACAGCAGTGTTCCCTACTTAGGGCCGGATGGACCTTCCAATAGTTTTGTGTCTTACAATGGATAATGATTGTATTGAAATAATTTTCATTTAATATTAGATTTAGGAATAAATTTTATCATCATAGAATTGCAGGATTCATATTCTTCGGATTACACTCTGTTACAGCATTTCTGCAAGCAGTCTGAAATTAACTGCCTGTGATCCTTGATCAGAAAAGGAAGTTATTGTCTCAGTGGTGTCATAACTGTGTGGTTACCAGAGAGTTGCTTCAAAACTAGGGGCAGTGAATGTGTGAGTGGAAGTAACTACAGAACACTGAGTTCTGGAAATGTATTGTAAAAAAGACAGGTTGATTAGTTGCAAATTACACTATACATTTCTAGGCCTAGTCTTAATTGCTTGACTAGACATATATTGCTACTAAATAAAGTTATGTACAGTTTTAAAAGACACCAAGCTGTAAACTTTTGATCTATAGAAATTATTTGCAGAGAAAGCAAAACTTAATTTTATGGGAGAGGCTAAAACTAGTTCTGGTAGCACTAGATCTGTGGTACCAAGCCAACACACAGAAGTCTGCAGTGATGTTGTTGTTGGAATTGCATGACAAATATTATCCACTTCTAGTCAGCAGTTAAAGAAAAATTAGTGGAGTGTGCCAGCTCTGCAGCAGCTTTTGTGTAGAATGGTTTGGTGTTTGTTGGCCACATCCTCATGGGTGTGTCTGTACCTCACACTCCACCTGCCTCTTGGCAGTCAGTGGGGTGGCTGAGATAATGGGCCCTGCAAAGCAAGCCTGACTGTAGCTTCCAGCAGCAATGCAATTTGTTTGTGTGCTTCTCAGATAGGAATTGTAATGTTTTTCCTGTTCTTAGGCCAGAGGAGATACTTAAGAGGATGGGAAGACATTGAAACCTTCCGGCTTGATCACACTTGAAAAATAGTTGCTCAGTCATGTTGCATTCTGATCAAACACTTGCTGGGCATATTTCTTGCCAGCGTGGTCAAGAAAGCTTTTCTTGGAATTTTACTGGCCTAGGTTATGTTGTAA